ATATATATACAAATAAAGATCCCTCCCAGAACCTGGAAGTCACTAGTACAGAGCTACTAACAAAACGAGTACAAGTCCCAAAAGTGGACCACATAGACTCGAGAGGTAAAAGACAGGTCTATATACACAGATGGAGACTAAAATAGTACAAAACGCCGTGTGCTCACCCCCATCTCTGGATCAGACTACTCCAAACTGGATCAACGCTGGCCATTGGTGTTCGGACCTGCATCACGAAATAGATGCAGAGCGTAGCATGAGTACCAAAACAACAGGTACCCAGTAGGCATCATAGGCTGATTGAACTTGAAAAGTAAAGGCAATATGAAAAGAAATAATAACACAAATCGAAGTTAAGAACCAAAATCTAACTAACAATGGAATGCACACGAGTGTAGAAAGAACTAACTAAAGTAATCTATACGCTAACTACACCTAACTGGACCCCCATAAGCCCAGAAGGTACACTCGTGTGCAAGTTAAAAAAAAACCCGAACGGACCCCCATAAGCCCGACGAGTACATAGAATAACTATAACTAAAGAGAATTGCATATAAGAACCCAAGAACGGAGAACATTGGACCAGAACCTCAACTCTAATTAGTAGAATCTGACAGTACGGAGGCCGGACCTCGAACCGGATGCTCACCAAAAGTACCCAAGTAACCAATCACAAATATCAAGTATCTGAGGCCGGAACTCTAACCAGATGCTCTATATAAGTATCTGGGCAATAGAGGCCGGACATTAAACCAGATGCTCTATATAAGTATCTGGGCGATAAAGGTCGGACCTTAAACCGGATGCTTTATATAAGTATCTGGGCAATAGAGGCCGGACCTTAAATCAGATGCTCTATACAGGTGCCAATGTAACTGCTAAAAGATTCCTAATCGATCCACGCTCATAAATGTCCGTGGAACGCCGTCCACACTTAGCCAATCAATGTAAGTCCTTGGAACCGAATTGAAAATCAAATTCAAATCGTGAAGCAGAACTAACATCACCGACTTAACACGTGAGGCCGTAACATCGGGTAAATAAGGATAACTATCATCGGAGCAAGCGTATCACCTAGCTAAGGCCCAAACTAAGGCGGTCGAGCAATGTCGGGGTAAAACTAAGGCCTATCGGATTCGAATAATGTATTTCTAAGGCAAGCCCTAGTTAAACCTAAAATAAGGCCCAATATGATTCAAATAAACAGTAATTAAGCATGCAAGCACTTCACATAGCGATGAGGGTCAATTAATAACACAAAGCATGCTTATAGTTACACGATAATTCTCGAAATAAGCGGAAAACATGATTTCTAAACACCTATGCATGATTCAATAACTACCAACCCAAATCCCAACTAATCAACATGCATTCACACTCTGAAGCTCAATCTAAGAGAGGGAAACCGTAGCTTACCTGTAGGCCGATCACACGCGCTTCAAAATCACTTCTCCGAAGCTTTCTCTATCCGATCGGCCTCGAAACGCTGCCCCGCTATAAAAAATAGAGTCACAACGTTATTACAGTCGTTTAGACACTAAAATTACAACAAACGGAGACATGTCAATTTTGGAGTCAAAATGGGAATCGTGGGACCCTCACCGAACTGTCCGAATTTGACTCCGTGAAGACACCCTAAACAGCACCACAAACTTGTGTTCCAAAATGGAACACAATTTGGGGCTTAAAACGCAGTAAAAACCAACAAGCAGGAAAATCAGCTTGTTTCCAGAATTTCCAGCACTGTATAATATTGCAGCAACTGAGTTTCCAAAATTTCCAGCACTGTATAATATTGCAGCAGCTGAGTTTCCAGAGTTTCCAAAATTTCTAGAGTTTCCAAAATTTCCAGAATTTCCAGCACTGTATAATATTGCAGCAGCTGAGTTTCCAGAATTTCCAGTACTGTACAATATTGCAGTAGCTAAGTTTCCAGAGTTTCCAAAATTTCCAAAATTTCTAGAATTTCCAGAATTTCTAGAATTTCCAGCACTGTATAATATTGCAGCAGTTGAGTTTCCAGAATTTCCAGTACTGTATAATAGCATAATAGTAGATTGCAGGAGCTGAGTTTCCAGAATTTCCAAAACTTCCAGCACTGTATATAAACTGATTCTATAACCTGTACAGACACAATATCCTAGCAGGGAAGCTGGAGCCCAACTAAACTAATTTTATAAATTCAAACAAAATCAGGACCTAGACAAACTATTTTTGATCAAATTGAACATTAGAACTTGAAGCCTCATAACATCAAATAGCATTTGAAAACAATTAGACAGAGATATACAACGACTAAGTTAAAAGATGCTCAAAAGAGAACTGAGCCACACTTGGAGAGAAAGGTAAACAACAAGATTTTACAACCCCATTTCAAGAACCCAGAACACATAGCAGACACTCTTAAAATCGCGACTAAATGAACTACAGACCATCTTGAACAAACTAAAGGAGACTTAGTTAACTTTAAGAAAACAGATCAAATCATATCAACTAAGAAACTGATACAAACTAGCAGCTCACTATTTCAGTCACAACAACGCATAACATTCTTGGTCTGAAACAGACAAGGAAAAATTAAAGGTAAATAATTGTACCTTTCTCGGAGCAACGAACTCAGGATAGCGACAAAACCAGGAGTGACTTCAATTTGCAGAGCTCACTGTTCTGCCTCTAATGCCTACTGCCTGATAATAAAAGGAAACAAATAAGTATATAAATAACAAACAGTCAAATAAAACAATATTCAACTAGAAGTACAGGTTCCTCAATAAAATAATAATCAGATAAGACGCCAACATAAATTACTTAACAAAACAACAATTGGGCGCATGAAAAAAGCCAACATAATACTTAAACATTGTAGCGATCTAATATTCAATTCCACATATTAGATATGTTAATGTGTTTGTACCAAAAAAACAATTAAATTACAAAAACAGTAAGTGAGCACTATATGATCACAAAAATAATGAAACTCATGGTGCGTCATCTTCAAACTCTTCTTCAGACTCATCTTCAAACTCATTTTCATACTCATTTTCAGACTCATGTTCATACTCATTTTCAGACTCGTCTTCAAATTCATCTGCAGACTCATCTTCAAATTCATCTGCAGACTCATCTTCAAACTCCTTTTTATACTCGACTTCAAGTTGTTAAGTAACAAATTCCTCCGAAGGCACATCAATAATTGTTTCTAGTACATCAATCCTTGTTAAGAGTACTTCACCATTATCTTTTGGTATAGATGGTCCCATCAAATGTTCAGATGGCTCGTTTTCATAACTTTGTGGGAGATTAGATTCAATTTCATCACCCATGTTAAACAAGTCTCTCGGAACAGTCTTCATAACAAAATGTCTATCTTGATCATATGGATCTTGCACATAGAAGCATTGGTGTACTTGAGATCCAAGAACAAAAGGCTCTTCCTGAGAGCATATCTTGTTAAAATAAACATAAGTAAGACCATAAGCATCATTTTTTTACCCTCATACCAATCACACTAAAATAGAACAACCTTAAAATGACTGTAATAGTCTAATTCAACAATATCAACTATTCTGCCATAATAAGTCAAATTTGCGGCAATAAGATTTTTATCCTTTGAGCTTGCAAAGCTTGTAGTTGAGGCAACTAGTGTAACACCACTAGTTTGTGTTTTACGCCTTGCATCACGCTGCCTAACATGAAATCTATATCCATTGATGAGATACCCAAAATATCTTTTTGCAACAGAATTTGGTCCTCTACACAATTATTTTATCAAATCAGGCACATCCTCTTGCAAAGCACGAGTTTCAAACCATTGAGAGAAGTTTAGACAATGATCGTTGGCCTTGTTCCATTTAGATCTTCGTGGCTGATTATTAACCTCTTGCTCATTCTCTCTACACAACATATACTTTTTTTGTTAAAATAATAAATAAAATAAGTTAAAAATTAATTATACAAAAAGAATACTACATTCAAATTAAGGTACCTATTATATTCTTGAACCCCGTCACAATTTCCCAGTAAGTATGCATGTGCCCGACTTAGTGACTTGCTATCTATAATGAATGGATCAGTTTTCTTTGCTCCTAAAGGAACTCCTTTGTTAGGAAACAAACTCACAGTTTCTGCATCACTTGGGTCACATCCATCATTATTTCGGGCTCTTCTGTTAAATCTGGTATGCACACCCCTATGTAGATATTTAGAGAATAAATTCATACAATTTATTCCCACTCGTGTCTCTGCTATGCAACCTTCTAGATGACGTCTGTTGCGAATGTATGATTTGAATGTACCCATTTCTCTTTCAGTGGAATACATCCATCGATTTTGAACAGGACCTCCTAATCTCACTTCATTCACCAAATGGATAGGCAAATGAATCATTATATCAAAAAATGAAGGAGGAAAAAATCGCTCCAACTAATTTATTGTTTCTATGATCTCTACTTCTAAGCCATCTAGTTCCTCCAATGTGATTACTTTTTGACACAAACGACGGAAGAAGGAACTAAGATGAATCAAAGGAATAGCCACATGATCAGGAAGAATGCTTTTAATTGGTATTGGAAGCAAGTAATGTAACATGAAATGAGCATCATGGGTTTTATAATTAGACACTTTTCTTTCATCCAAGTGCACACACCTAGATATATTGGAGGCACTACCATCAGGTAGCTTTTCTGTCTTTAAAATTCCACAAAAAATTGATTTCTCTCCATTTGTCATTGAGAAGCACGCCTTTGCAAACTTTGTTCTCTTACTATCTTCTGTATCTTTTGGATGAAGGTTCTTCCTGATTCCCATATCTTTCAAATCATACCGGGCTTTTGCATGATTCTTTGTTTTGCCAGGAATATCTAAAAGAGTTCCAAGTATGCTATCAACTATATTCTTCTCTATGTGCATTACATCACGGTTGTGGCGTAACAAGTTGTGCTGCCAATAAGGTAATTAAAAAAAATGGACCTTTTTTTCCATGGGCCATCATTTGATCTCTTTCACTTCTTTCCAAACACATTTTCAAAATCATGTAAGCTATTAAGCACATCAGTTCCCTTTAAGAAAGGTGGAGGAGGCCTGAATTTAGTTTTTCCATTGAAAGATCTTTTGTTAGATCTCCATGGATGATCCATGGGTAGAAAAACACGATGATCCATGTAACACATTTTTCGACTATGTTTAAGATAGTGAGAATTAGTGCCATAGTTACAACAAGAGCAAGCAAACTTTCCTTTTGTACTCCAACCAAATAACATAGAATATGCAGGAAAGTCATTGGTTGTCCACATATGAGCTGCCCGCATTTGAAAAGTTTGATTTCTTGAAGTATCATATGTTTCAACCCCAGAATCCCACAATAAATTTAACATATCTATCAATGGTTGTAAGTAAATATCTATGTCATTTCCAGGTGATCGCGACCCAGGTATAAGTAAAAGAAGTATAGAATATTCAGATTTCATGCACATCCAAGGCGGCAGATTATACACCATCAACATAACTGGCCATGTGCTATGTGATAAACTCATGGTTCGAAATAGATTGAATCCATCACTTGACAAGCCATGTCTCACATTGCGACAATCTAGTGCGAAATTTGGATGCAACCAATCAAAATCTTTCCATGCTAGACCATCATCGGGATGCCTTAAGTTTCCATCTTTAGAACGCTCCTCGTCATGCCACCTCAAAGAATCTGCCATCTTTGAGCACATAAATAGCCTTTTGAGTCTAGGAATTAATGGAAAGTGTCTCAAAGTCTTTGCTGAAACTCGATGTTGTTTTTTTGAAGGCTCAAGCTCACTATCAACTTCAGGAGATTTAATATATCGTGAAGCTCCACGAGTATGACGAAATTCATCATCCTTATGATCATTCCTGAACAACATGCAATCATTGGGACATGCATCAATTTTCTCATAATCAAGATCAAGATTCTTAACCATAGACTTGATTTTATTGTAAGACGGAGGAATGTTCAACTCAGGCATCACCTCTTTTAATAACTCTAAAAGAGAAGTGAATGATTCATTGCTCCATCCATGTAGACACTTCAACAAATATAAACGAACTGTGAATGATAATTTAGAGAATCCTGTACAACCAGGATATAATTCTTGGCTTGCCTCTTCAACTAAGTTGTAGAATTTCTTGGCATCTTCATTTGGACTATCATAAACTCCTTCAGCCTGTGCAACATCTCTAAATTGATCATTCAACAACCCATCAATAACATCACGTGAGTAATCCATATCATCGTTAACATTCAACTTGATATCCCATTCCCCGTGATTGATCCATCTAGTATTGCCTTTAACAAATCCATAGCATATTACATTCCTTCGAGTCCAACGAATATTACAACATTTTGCACATGGACACTGAATTTCCTCTTCTTGAGGATCTCCATAAGAGTAAGCGAAATCTAAAAATGATTCAACACCTTCAATATACTCTTTGCTATACCTTGCTAAATTCATCCAATCCTTTGATGGGATATTTGAATTCCTAGAAGAAGATATCAGTATTTAATCTTTAACTAACAATCATTAAATCATTAAATACTTCACAATTAAGTTTTAAAATTCATGAGTAAGTTATCAGAATCATGTGTTATGAGATGATAAAAGTTTCTTACCTAGTCATGACACTTGTGCTATGCCAAATCAAACCTTGAATCCTCCACAAATATTTTTGAATGTTGATGATACTACCAAGGAAAAATAAGTAAAATTAATAGGATAGACACAATTAAGAAAGAAAGTAAATAAATAGAATTCAAATGATTAAAAGTTTAAGTTTTGTGAGTGAATTAAGAGCTTTAGAGCTTTTAGAATTTTTTAAAACTAAGTCCAAAATTTTAAAATTTCATTCTTGTTCACACCCAATCAGAGAAGTATCAAACATCTAATACCATGTTTAAACATTCAAGCAAACATTCCTATAAACCTATAATAGATATTCAATCAACAACTTATGAAAGTTGCTTAGTATTAGTAATACAATATTTTTTTAATTTGTTGTCTTAGTAATACAACAGTTTCCAAATTTCACATTGTATTAGTGACACAACAGTTTTTTTAAATTTTCTCTATATCGTTGATACAACAACAAATACAAAGCGAACTGTTGTATCAGTGATACATAACGAACTTCAGAAACTCTTATATCACTAATACATAGAGAATTTCAAAACTGTTGTATCAGTGATACATGGAGAAAGATATTTTTTATCCTTCCCTTTTGTGGTGAATGTTCTGTGAGTTTTTCAGCTTCTCCACATTTTGATTCAACTAGTTTTGTAAAGACCTTGGCGGGTAAGCATATGAGAAATGGAGAACACATGGTAGGTTTTGATTGCTGATTGGGAAAAAAAAGGAAGAATTGCTAAAAGGCGGGTTTGTTTTGCTGGCTATTGAAGTGCAGGAAAAAAGAGTAGAACCAAAGAAGAAAATGAAATGAAGGACAATCAAATTACAAGAGAACTGCAGCAGGTGAATAATACAGTGAAGGATACTTCAAAAATGCAGCAGGTGAAGGAATCATATGACCAAAGAGATCAGTGGCAGACACAGAAGAAGAAGAAAAATAAGCATCAAGAATAGGCCAACCCTAAGACTGTGTGGAAACCTAAAGACTTGCAGCATAAATAAGGCATGGAGAATCAGCAAAATCCAGCTCAGGCAGGTATGACACTCAATGTTCCTACTAACAATAATTTTATTGGTTTAGATGTGTAGGAACAGGTTACAAATAGCCTATATGGTCTAGATACCAGCAATAAGACATTAACCAAGGAGGATCAACCATCACATGATCCAGGTAAGCTAGTTAATTCAACAAGCAGTCAAAATGAATAGCACTCCCAAAAGAATCAAAATGCAGGAATTTCCTGTAACGTGGAACCTGTTATTGATTTAAGGCTCCCCTTACCCCATAACCCCACTGTTATTTCTGTTGAGACGGTTGAGGTTTCTGATGGAGTTTCTGGAGGGATAGGTGGAGGGATGAAGGAGACACAAACTAATATGCAGGAAGGAGAAACCAAAGGGAGGGATTTGCCTAATGTTTTGCAGGAGGAGGAGAGTACAGACCAGCTTCAAGTTCCTATTATACATCACGAAAGTAAGCATCAGGCATCCCACCAGCTTGATATTGGGAATAGTTTACAGGACTTAGGTAAGGAAAATCCTTATGCTGGAACCAGTGCTAGACAACAAGAAAAAGAGGGACTGCATAGTCAGATTCCTCAGAAAGATGCAGGGAACACTCCTACTCAGCCTAGTAACAATAAATCCCAGGCCAGACTGAGTAAAAAAAGAAGAAATGCTATTAAAAAAAGGCATAAAAAGGAAATGGAAACTGAAAATAAACAGCAGGGACAGAAGGAAAAGGTTGAGGACTATGATGAATATGGGGTTCCAAATTATGAAGATGAGTATGATGAAGATACACAATCTTTAGATGATAATGAGGATGAAAAGGATGAGATCACTACAACTTCTAGGGCCACTTTTCAAACTGATTATGATCAGGAGGAAATCCAAGAAATCAAAAGGCAACAAGGACTATCTCCAAGAGGGAGGAAAGAAACAAGGCACAACACCACTAGAGATTGAAGCAGACCACTCACTAGAACTAGAAGCAGAGGCTTGTGATTCATTTGACTATGGAAAAAACTCACACTACTAATAATGATATCATATGGTTGTTTTGGATTAGTGATGTTTATTTGTTGATAAACAGTCTACTAGCTTGTGAGCTGAAACTTGTTTTTCTATGTTTCTGTCAAATGCCATTTTTAGAATAGGTCTTTTTTTTTTAATTCTTCTCTTATTGTAAGGGGAGAGTCTCCCTTATTTATGTTTTTCTAGTATAATTTTATTTAGAAGAGTCCTCTCCTTAAGGTGCATAGTGCTAGGTTTACACTTTTATAGTTTGAGGATGAGTTGACTAACTTTATTAGGTAGGCCGACTCTTGACTCACCATAGGATTGGAGGTAAGGTTTAAGTCCCCATCCTTGTATATTTTTTTATTTTTGTTATTAATGATAAGGCTTGGGGGTGTTACTAAGCCCCTGACCCCACCAAGGGTCGTTCAACTAAAAATAATAATAATAAGTACTAGGTTATATCCAGTAATTCCTGTACTTTTTTTGGTGTACACCTTACATACTGGAACAAAGCATCTAAGTATGAGAAAACTTCACTTTTCTAAATTGATTACATGAAGTGAAGAATCAAACTTCTAAACTATCATGTAGTGTATTGGTTAGCTACTCGTTTGAACTCAAGGCATATTCACTGTAAGAATTCAAAATCGATTACATGAACTCAAACTTCTGGACGATTTTAGCCCTATTCGGCTTATTAGCCTAATAAAAAAGAAATTCTCAAGTGAAGAATCAACCCACTTATACTTATTTAGTGATTACGAGCTACACTCCCAAACATCAACTGATGAAGCTAAAATACGAGCTACACTCCCAAAAATTGTATCAAAAACATAAGAATATCAAAACCCTAAAGCTAAAATTTAGACTTTCAAAGATAAAATTTGTTTCCTAATAAACCCTACTCCAACAAAATCCTGTTTTCAGCGAGAACTATGATGTAAATCGTGTCCTTCAGCGAGAGTTCTACCCTTATGAAGCATGACCTGCATTTCACTTTTTCTCCTTCTCTTTCACACTTTATGATTTCCACAATCCACCCTATGTTATTTTAATCACTACTCATTGGATACCCCACTTTTTTTTATCCATTTCACAAAGTTTATTTCAACAATTCTTTTCTTTTTTAATCTTTTTCTACTTTCACATTTCTCTTTTCTCACATATTTTACATGGAAGGGTTGCATCTTTTGCAACATGATCCTAAAGGGTTAATTTCTCAAACATCTTGACTTTCCTCCTTTTTCATCACACCCCAACCTAGGCTTTTGGCCTATATTGGCTATTGAAACGAACCAATGCTTCATGAAGGTTATAGGTTATGGGACAAAGAGGTCAAAGTTATTCACATTTAATCTAGAGAAAAGGGTAGGCTCAAATGGTGCAAAATTTGGTTCACATTCTCACACGGTGGTCACAAAGGGGTATGATAGCATTTTTTGTTCACTCTTCACAAATAGTGCCTAAGATCATCTCTGTCGTCCCCTTACATTAGTCAATGAAATAATGGGGAAAGTTCTAGGTATTACCAAACATATATTTCAAGAAAATCTCACCACACAGGGCACTCAACACAATAATCAAACAAGACTCTAGAATTTTCAGCTAGCGTGATATACCGTGAGTTTACGGTATTTCTAATACATTTCACTTACAAGTTGTGTGTGTCTAGGGCCTTTTTATATTGGTTTTTATGTGTTTTTATCATGTTTTGCAGGAAAGGTGTTCAGGCGCGGAACTTAAGAGACAGCTGAAAGAAATGCAGAAAAAGGGCATCCACGGAGGTGATCTACGGACAGTAGGTCCATTCACGGTCCGTAGGTTATGACCATAGATCACAGGCATGGTATTAAGGACAAATCAGGGAAATCTGACTAAGTATGGAACCACGGTCCCATTGACGGTCCGTAGATTAATCTACGGACCGTACTGTTGATCCGTAGAGTGATATGCGAGGGTTCCAGTACCTGATTTTTGAAGATTCTAAGTATCGAGCTATGGAGGGGATTGACGGACCGTAGATCGATCTACTGGCCGTACTGCTGGTCCGTCGTCTGCTTCAGAGAAGCTGATTTTTGGAAGCTGAAATATTTTCTAAGTCCCGATTGACGGAAGGGACTTACGGACCGTAGATCCATCGACGGTCCGTAAGTCAGTTTCGTGGATTGAAGACGCGTAGCTGAACAAAACTTTCCTTAATATGTTTCCTTTTTATTTAGCTTTGTTTTCTATAAATAGGACATGTAAACCTCGTTTTTGGGGTTAGACACTATATTCTAGTTTTACTTTGTAACTTTGGAGATTAATTTGCAACTTTAGCAATTATTGATTTCCCAAGTTCGTTTTAAAGATTTTGGCTTTGCAATTCAAGTTAAATTT